GGCAGGCGCAGCATTGGCGATGCCGTTGCCGAAGTCGTGGCAGGCGCAGCATTCTGTGCATCTGGGTGTGTGTTTGTGTGGCAGGGGTCGCATTCGGCAGCTGTCTAGAGGGACAGGATGTTGTCGCGCGCGCGGCGGGGGGCGTGCGAAATCGTGGCAGGCGCAGCACTTTGGCGATGCCGTTGCGAAATCGTGGCAGGCGCAGCACTTTGGCGATGCCGTTGCCGAAGTCGTGGCAGGCGCAGCATTCTGTGCATCTGGGTGTGTGTTTGTGTGGCAGGGGTCGCATTCGGCAGCTGTCTAGAGGGACAGGATGTTGTCGCGCGCGCGGCGGGGGGTGTGCGAAATCGTGGCAGGCGCAGCACTTTGGCGATGCCGTTGCGAAATCGTGGCAGGCGCAGCACTTTGGCGATGCCGTTGCCGAAGTCGTGGCAGGCGCAGCATTCTGTGCATCTGGGTGTGTGTTTGTGTGGCAGGGGTCGCATTCGGCAGCTGTCTAGAGGGACAGGATGTTGTCGCGCGCGCGGCGGGGGGTGTGCGAAATCGTGGCAGGCGCAGCACTTTGGCGATGCCGTTGCGAAATCGTGGCAGGCGCAGCACTTTGGCGATGCCGTTGCCGTGGCAGGCGCAGCATTCTGTGCATCTGGGTGTGTGTTTGTGTGGCAGGGGCGTGACGGCGCGCGGCGGGGGCGCGGCGCAGCACTTTGGCGATGCCGTTGCGAAATCGTGGCAGGCGCAGCACTTTGGCGATGCCGTTGCCGAAGTCGTGGCAGGCGCAGCATTCTGTGCATCTGGGTGTGTGTTTGTGTGGCAGGGGTCGCATTCGGCAGCTGTCTAGAGGGACAGGATGTTGTCGCGCGCGCGGCGGGGGGTGTGCGAAATCGTGGCAGGCGCAGCACTTTGGCGATGCCGTTGCGAAATCGTGGCAGGCGCAGCACTTTGGCGATGCCGTTGCCGAAGTCGTGGCAGGCGCTGCATTCTGTGCATCTGGGTGCTCTGTAATCGCATCCATACAAGGGGCGCACGGTACATGTGTGTGGACATTTGAACTCACATCCTTGGGAAAAACATAGCATGTGGGGTTATCCGGTCCTTTAATTGTTTTTTCCAGTTGCTGTCCTTCACCGGGTTGTTTTCGCTGGGAAACCAGAGGGTGTGGTTTTCGCCATTTCTTGCCACACACGTTTGAAGGTGCCTTTCGCCCGGGTCAGCTAGAAGTGATCAGGGCGCTTGCAGCAGGAGTGAGATGAGTTTGATGTGTTTGAGCGTTGCCTGGGTCGTCAAGCAGGACAAGACGTGCTTTACGTCTTCCCGACTGGGGCTGGCAAGTCGTTGTGCTTCCAAGTGCCTGCATTGATGTCGCAGGGCAAGTTTTTCGGCAGCAGTTTGAACTTTCTGCGTCTTGTCATTCATCTTGCCTGCAAGGTTTGGCCTTGTTATTTCTCCTTTGATTGCTCTGATGAAGGATCAGGCGGCTGTGTGGAGCACTAACATGCACTTGCTCACAAACTTATGATATACATTTGCGAACCTGATAGTCACTGGTAGGTGAGAAGCATGCGCGCTCACGGTGTACCAGCCGTGGCCATTCACTCTGAGCTGTCTGCGACAGAGCGGCGGGATCTTGTCTCAGGAATTGCATGAAGGTTATCGGACTGGGAGTGTAGCAACCTCTCAGGATGCACTCGCAATGATTGGCCAAAAGCGCGGAGAGAAGTTGAAAGGACGCTAGCAAACAAAATGCATGGGCAGTGCAGGCTCGCATATCATATCGTGTCAATGCGCAGGATTCTTTGCAAAAGCTCCAAAGTTGGTGTATTTGTCGCCTGAGCCGCTTGATCTGAATTTGGTAGGGAAGCACATGAATCCCCGCCTAAATGATGACATTACCAAAGGGTCCCCCATCAAAATTCACACCCACGTGAGGTTCGGTTAAAAGTGTTGGTAGTATGACAGCGGGGGCTAAACCAGGGGACTCACGAAATTCCCCCTACACAAATCTGGTGACTTACTACATTTCCCATGTCCTCTTGGGGAACAAACCATGTTGACCGTCGCTTTGGGCCAAGGCTTGCCACATCCTCAAGCTTCGCCGAGATCCTGCGAGGCTGGTCCTCACAAATCGCCTTGGTGGCCATCGACGAAGCGCAGCATGGCTGAGTCGGAGCCATCCGTGAATTGATTGGATAGGGTTCCATCTGACTGCCTCAACGTAGCTGAAACCCAGTGGTGGGTGCTTTGGGGTAGTCAAAGATGAACCCGTGATGTTGTCCATCAAAGCAAAATCGCAGACGCATCGGCAAGAATTCGGAAAACATGCTTTTCAGCTGGTGCGTGATCAAGTGTAATTGACCATTGGCGGGATGCAGTTCGGCAATGCCTTGGCCCAGACTGGCTTGGCCTGAGGCACTGCGTCAGCAAATGGGGCCATGACTTTCGGCCATGCCACTTGGTGGCGCGTCAAGCCCATTGGCTTCAATCCCAGGACCCCTTTGTCAAGGTAGATACCCTTCCTTCAACAAGCACAACACTTGACAGGATGATATTGGGAGACGAATTTCCCAAAACGAAGCCCCTTGGGGGCAATTCCGTGTTTGTTGGAGGGAGCTTAAAGCCCTTCCAGGGGAGCCATCCAAAGGGGACGCCCAAGCCAAGCTGAAAGCCGTGAGGCTACCGCTGCTTGCATCAGCTGCGCGACGTCCTGCCACAACTTCCATGGGCTGCCTGCACTGCAACTGCGACTGCCAAGGTGTCTTGGCAGACATGGGAGACTGTGGCCACAAAGGCATGTCTACGTATCTGAGGTGAGGAAGGACGTGGCTGAAAACCTCGGATTGAAAGGCAAACCTGTATTGGAAGTTCTCTTGCCTTTTGATCGCCACAACCTTCGCTATGGAGTCATCAGCAGGAGAGGCTTGCGCGGGATGGTGCAGAATCTCAGGTCTCTACAGATTCCCATGTTCGAAGGTCTATCTACTGGTGCTTTGTCTTGCTTTGTATTCCAATCAATAGAGGAGCAAAGGGGTGTGAGTGGCTACTGGAGACTGCACGGTTGGATGCTGCAAGGAGGGACCGGGAGTTTGGTGGTGATCCGTACACAGAAGCTGAGCTTTCAGAGCAGATCCATGATTTGACTTTGTTTTAACAACAATGCTCCGTGTCCATGCCTTCATTGGAAGAAGGCATCAACTACGCATAGCTGTGTCTGTGTGTGTGTGTGCGCGCCAAAATAGGGAACCCCCCCAACAAACACGGGCGGCTTTCCCTTCGTTTCCATTCTGCTCACCCTCCCAAAGAAGGCGACACCTAAGGAAGTGGTGGACCTTACCGCATCGCAGCCATCCAGTGATTGCGGCATCATCTATTGCCAGCGGCAGGCCGATTGCGAGAACATCGCGGACCTGCTGCAGGACACAGTCTTGCGCAAAAAGATGAATCAATAAAGGGTCACTCCAGGTGTTTGGTTTCCTTCTCCCCTTAAAAAGCCATCCAAAAGGGCGTGCTCTATCTTGAGGCAGAGCCATAGGTCGGTGCGCAGGAGTGTGGGGTGCCAGCCATGCCTTTCCATGCTGGTCTCAGCAAGAGCAGAAAGCAGGCTGCATTTGATGCCTTCATTGGGAAGGCAGGTGCGGCCAAGCGTGAAAGCGCCCCATCCGAAGCCAAAGCTCGTGTGCTGGTAGCAACCATTGCCTTCGGCATGGGCGTGGACAAGGCAGACATCCGCTTCGTGTTCCACGCTTCGCCTCCCAGATCTTTGAGCGCGTACTACCAGGAAAGTGGGCGTGCAGGGCGCGATGGCAAGCCCGCGCTCTGTGTGATGTTCTACGCAGAGAGGGACTTCGCATCAGCAAGGCGCCGCAGCTGCACTTCCCATTTGGAAAAGAAGAAGCAGATTTCAGATGACTTAGGATGCTCATTCAGAACCGGGATCGCTTCGGCTCCGGAGGCAACGAGATCGCACTCCAGGAGCTTGAAGCTGTCGCTGGTTGGCAAAGAGGGAGAGCTTTGCTGGCAAGAGCGCCGCACATTGATCTTGAGCCAAGGTTGAAGAGTACTGCGGCAGCACAAGTTGCCGGCGCAGAATGCTGTTGAATCACTTTGGGGATCCAAATGCTGATGCTGCAGCTCAGCCAAAGAGTATCGATACAGTGGCTTGCGGTTTCCTCTCGCTCATCTTGAGGCATGTGGCAGCCGCAAGCCGGAGCATTGCTGCGATAGATGTGCAGCAGGTGCGAAGCTTGCATTACATGGTCTACCACAGCCGAAGGGTCGTAAAACATCAGCTATGCCGCTTGGTCTGAAGGTTTGTTGCTCTTAATCCGTTTAGATTCGACCTTCCTTTTTGAGAACGGTCAAGGCCAGCACCCGCAGATCTGCCGGGATTGCGGCCTGCTTCAAAGGCATTCTCCGGTCACAGCTCCATGTCCGCAAAGCGGCAAGTGTTTGAGAGTCGCATCCACTGCCTTTCAAGGCATGGGTGAATCCGGCTTCGTGACGGCACGACAGCTGCGAGGCCATGCCTTTGAGATCAGCCGTGAGGCACTGTAAGCCTTTGACACTTTGAGGCATGACTGCTTGCCCTTCGAGCAACGCGGTATGCGGCTTGACAGCGTGCAGGGGGCCAGGATGCGGGATGTTTCAAGTTTGGAACATCTCTTTGTCTTGACAATACGCCATCCCGAGCCTGATGTTTTCTCACACCTGATATTTGCAGAATTTGCAGCCATTGGAATTGATGTGAGGCTCACCCAAGAAGAAGAAGCGCCTGCTGCATCTTCTTCCTGCTGCAAAGATCTGAGCAGCGACTGCAAGCTGCGTGCACCCTCAGTGCTGGAAGCCACGATGCATAATTCAGCTGGAGCGCTGCAAGCGCGACAGCAGGGGCTGCGCCAAAGGGGGTGTCTTTGGCAAACATCTGCACAAGAAACACGACCTTTGCTGCAGTCGCCTTGTCGCCTGCTGGCATGACGGGATTGCGCTCATTTCCTCGCCCTGCGCAGCACAACGACAAGCTCTTTCTGGGACGAGTGTCTGCTGTGCGGCTGATTGTCCCTGAGGCTTGGCTGCTTGAAAGACCAGAGGTATTCTAAACACCCCTCCCCGCTTGAAGGGATGGCTGCCCCACATACGCTTTTCCTTGGGACCATCCAATAAACCTGTACTAGTTTGTTTTTCGTTTTCTTTTAACATACCTCATTGCTGGGGTGCCAGGCAGCGCGATCTCTGGGCCAGGCCGAAAGCATTTTGCAAGCTTGCACGGGCTTGCACTGAGCTATTTGAGACGCAACAAATCAACCTGCTTTTAACAGGCTGGTTCTGCGCTGCCCGAGCGGGAGCAGGACGGTGGCAACAAATTTAATGGAGAACGGGATAGCTGAGATCTGTGGGGTTTTGTGGGATACCGAGATACCTGCGTGAGGACGCGGAGCTCTTGAGGTCAGTCGTCCCTGAGGCGGGTTATCTTAAATAGTCCAGGGCTGGGCAGGTTTTCCGGTCTTTATCCGTCTCACTTCAGAGGTGGGGAGTTCCGACATGTATATATATCCTTCACTTGCAAGCCACCTCGCCTGGCGCACCAATGATTAAGCGGCGAGCCGCCAACTTTCCACTTGGCCATGATTTCAAACTAGCAACATCCTGCAACTGGTTGATAGACATTCCCATGTCCACTCAAAGGGGTGGGCTGAAACTTGAGGATAGCCGCGCTTGGGCAGAGCTTCACCTTCACCTCGAGGCTGGTGTCACCGCTGACGGGCCCTGGCCATGTGGCTGCTCTGAGGATTTGCGGTCCCGACTTGGAGAAGAGTCTGGCCAGGAGTGGAGCCCTTAAGCGCATTTTGAGTTGCAGCGTGCGCAAGCACAGCGTGCGCAATCATGTGTGTGTTTTTTTCTTAAGGGAGCCCTTCTTGCGAAAAAGAGAACCTCCAATTTTGGGCTTTGCCCTGTTTTGAGATTGGCCTGCATGCCATCACCGTATTCACTGAGGGTCTTCCGGACCCTGATTGAAGCTTCTGGGTTAGTGGACGAGGCGCTTTGGAACTTTTTCGAGTCGTGTTTGTGCTGCGCCATGCAAGGCGAACGAGATCACTGCTGCGATTCGCCCGGGGGACAACTTGAAGTTCGAGGCAGTAGCGACATGACGAGGTCTTGTTTTCGTTTGAAGGTGCCTAAAGGGTGCAAGTTTGACATGCGCAAATCATACCCCCCAAATCATACGTTGAATCATGCCTCTTAACAGCACCGGAAGCTGTCCCTTACTGTCTCAATCTGATGCACGAATGTAAGATGTACACAATGGCAATCATTTTGGCTGCGTTGCAGCCAGGTAGAGTTGGCTTGGGATATCCATCGAGCTGGAGCAGCAACCGACATTGTGGTTATTCGTTTGATGAAGCCTCGGGCTGAGCTGGTAGCTTTCAAACCAGAGACATAGGCAGGGTTTCTGACCCAAGTAAGCAGCGCCCGTTGTACTAAATGCGGATGTCTTGTATGGCCTTTTGTCCTGCTGCTCAAGTTGCAAGAGGTTTTGGGTGGCTGCTCAAATGGCAATTTAGGATGAAGGAAGCTCCTGCTGAACCAGATGACGAGGACGTGCGATTGCCGCACTCATTACTTGTGCCAATCGAAGAAGGCAAAGCTTGCAATATCGCTTTCTTGATCCGTGCGAGCTCCGCGGATGTTGACCGTATGATATTTTTCTTCAAGTTGGCCTGACAGATGGCTGTGATGATGCACACGCAGCATGCATTGTCTTGGCAAGGTTGGTCCATCATGTTGCGGTGTTCAAAGTGTGCAAAAGATGCTGGGATGCCTGTATCTTTGCTGTCAGTGCTGCCGCTGTAATGCGATGTTTTGGATACTTGGCCATACCTGTGTGATGTTTGTGATGTGAGTGTCAGTGATGTTGTCGGTTTCAGGCCGAGATCCTGGCATGGCCAGAAGGATGTTTGATGGGGATGGAGCGAGTGCTGAGATTCGGAGGAATGATAACAATTGCTGCGGAATGTTGGTTTGTGTAGAATGCTTGCGATGCGGGTGATGCTAGTGATGTTGGTGATATCCGGATGCAGGTGATGTCAGTGATGCAGGCGATGCTCGTGATGTTTATTTGCTCAAATTTCTGGAACCGGCAGGCATGACTTGGTGCTCTCGTTGGTGGTGGAGTTTGTGTTCGCATAGTTGTGTAGGAGCAAGTGGTGCAGGTCATGTGAATGCTGCTGATGGGAGTGTTGAAGTTTGTGATGTGATGCTAGTGATGCTCTCTTTTGATAGGTTAACATTCTTCTGCTCTGGCCGGTGATGAGCTGCCCAATAATCTGAGCGATGTGACAGCCATGGGAGAAGCAACGATGAGCGTTGATGAGGTGCTGGTGACATGTTGGGGATGCTGGTGATGCAGAGGCTTGAAGCTGTTTGAGTTCGGTGATGCTAGTGGAAGATTGAAAGTGAATGTATGTGATACTTGTGAAAAATATGTGGATTCCAAGGGCATTGCTGGGGATGTTGGTGATGTTGGCAATGCTGGTGATGCGGGATTGGATGGGGAGACGTTTGGGGTGTCAGGAATGTTTTTATCTTTTAGGGTTTTGTGAATCATTGTCACGTTTACTACTTTTGCTAGTTTTGTTAGTGACCTGCCTTTGGTGCTTCAAACAATCGCAGCTAAGAAGCCGCCGCCGCGTTGCATCACAGTTGCATCACAGTTGCATCACAGTTGCATCACAGTTGCATCACAGTTGCATCACAGTTGCATCACAGTTGCATCACAGTTGCATCACAGTTGCATCACAGTTGCATCAGTCCCAGTTGCCGCAGCAGTGCCAGCATTGAGGATGACAATCAATGCTAGCATGGCCTAAATTCAGCGCAAAGCGGAGAAGAGTTTGGGGATCTCAGGTTTCTGAAACATTCGCTTCTTGGAGAGGACTTGTCGCCTACTTCGAACACCAGCGAGGTGGACGCGGACAACATGGTGGCTTGGATCGTTTGAACACATGAAAACGAAAGTTGGCCTGCGCTCATAGGCGGTTGCCTACTGGACCCTGCTGAAGTTCAAGGCAGGGCTGACTTTGAGTCTGTGAAAGATGAGGGACTCTGCCGCAAGGCGTCCGGACAGAGTTGCATGGCTTGTGCAGGCGCGCTTGGACCAGATGCGCGATTGCTTCGATGAGCACCAGCAGCACGGCAGGCCGAGCCTAGCAGCTTTGCTTGATTGCACGTGCTGCGTCGTAGGTGGAGTGGAAGCGGCGACTGTTTGCGCGATCCGTGGATGGAGCCTTCGATTGTCGAACTTAAGCCGATTGCTCAATGGAGTCGCCACCGTGTCTCATGCGCTTGCTGCTTTGATGTGCCTGTCTGCTTGATGAAGCCAACAGGCAACGGCTGGTTGCACACTTAGACGCCGAGTCCAGGCGCAGGCTGGCATCAAAGCGTGGAAAGCCCACGGATCACACATTCCGAGTAACAGGTGCGCGAGCAAAGCCAGTGGGGCTGCACTTTCGCCTCGGGATCAGGCCACCAAGGCTGGCATCCGTTTATCCGATGTGCCCATGGAGATGCTTGGAGGTGGCTGCTCAAGCAGCAGCCCAAGTGCGATTTGGCTCGAAGGCGTGGCTGAACTTGGTCCTGTTAGGTCTGTTAGGTCAGGATTGCACTTTGGCCAGGCATCCATGGTATCAGCAGAATCCTTGCGTGGCCCCGGCAGCCGGGAGGCCAGCAAGGCTTGGGAGCATCTTCAGAGCGGATGTATCTTACAAGGGATGCCAAGACATCGCTGGTTTCCTTTTGGCAGACTCAGGGGAATCCTATTGCGCAGGTCCGGATGCTGCAGCCCACTCTTGGGCGCCGCTTGACTCCTCGTGGCGTGGAGGCATCGCCGGTGCCCAGAAACGTGGCGCTCCCAGCTGGCGCGGAATGTCGAAAAGTCTCGCATGGGGGACTCCTCCAAACTGGTTTTCCTGCTGGTTTCTAGCTAAAACCACAGCCAAACATGCTCGAGCCAAGGCGCCGAGCACTTCAAGCACTGCAAGGGCCAAGCCACAGGCGACAAAGCAAAACAAGAAGAGACATGAGTGCAGCAATCCACTGATTGCGAGTTGCTCGACTCTTGGCTTGGAGGTCTTGGAGGACCTTGGCGGGCTAGGCTCATTGAAAGCGCTGATAGCCCAGTGGAATATAATTACAGTCCACAGATGATTCAACTTGCGCATGTGTTTTTCTTCACGCATTCCGTAAGGCCTCTCAGTCCCTTTGCACGCAGTGTGGACAGCTTAGATCACAAGCAAGGTGGAGATGCTCGTGCCATGAGCTGCAGGAAAGCTGCACCAGCATCTCGAGCCACAACCAGCCCAAAGGTGCCTTGAAGGAGAACTTGCAAGAGTGGCAGGCAGGGTTGGGCCAGTCCCCTGTTTAAACACGCAACAACATTTGCCCAACCTGGTGGCCGGAGTCACGAGGATGTCTTTCAACCCGTCCTTCATTGGTAGCCATCTTGGGCCAAGCTGAATGCCTTTCTGTTTAGCCCATGCACTCCCCGCAGCATTTGACCAAGTTGTCCAGCTTGACACCCTTACCCCACAACCTCCCTGCAGTCACACCGGCACACTCAGAATCTCCGCAAGCACGTCAGACCGTGAGCTGCAATGGGCAGCTTGCAGATTAGCAGACAATGTCCCTGTTGCCTAGCTGGCGTTGCGTTGCAGAGATCGCCAGGGCGGCCAGTCAGGAAAGGCAAGATGCTGACATGGTCCGTAGATGTCTACCAGCGCGGATTGACGCGCTGCTGCCGCAAGAGATGGCTCTCTGCTTCGAGCACGAGCTCTGGCAGATGCTGCTGGGTGCGGCTCGTGCCCAAGCCCAGCGCGAGGAGCCGAAGGCCACAAAACCAAGCGCTGCAAAGCCGGGTGCGGCCCCAGGTGAGGGTTCAACAAACGGGTTGACAAAAATAAAAGGTGCCCAACCGACCATGGGGTTGACAAAAGGTTCACCAAGTCTGGGTTTGGGTGTTCAAATCTGTGCCCATTTGAGCACCGTCCCAACTTGGGGTCGCGGCCAGGCGACGCCGTGGCCGCGGCCAGGAGCGCCATGGCCGCGGCGCTGCGGTGCCTGGCGGAGGCCTCCGAAGGCTTCGAGGCGCGGCTGCGCGCGCGGGCCCACGTGGCGCTCAGCAGCGGCGCCATGCAGCCGGCGGAGCTGCACCGCGCCGAGCTGCAAGGCGTCGTTCTCAACACAGCGCTGTCCGAACCGTCTTTCCGGTTTTTGGCTTTAGTACTTGTTTCGCAAATCGATGATGTAGCATGTTTCTTATGAATTTAGCAATTCAGTTTGTGTCTATGTTGTAGGACTTTGGGGCGTCTCTATCAATCTGCCGATATTCTGGTGAGCTTCCAGGGATAAACCGAGCGAACACCCATGATGTATTTCCTCCACCAGACCTTTCCTCCACCAGACCCAAGTCTTGTTTCAGTTTGGGAATCATTGGTTTTTGCTTTAATCCTGCAGGGATGTGTGGTGCGTTTTGGGGGGCTATAGACGCTTCATAGGGTCCACCATTGAGACGTTGAGACGAGCCTGGCATTAAGAAGCACTCTGCCATGCAGAAGTACGGAATTTCACCAGAAGCAATAAGAAGCTAGCTACAACTTGCCTTGGTGAGGAAACCAACTGTATGAAGCCCGGAAACGAGCTTGATTTGATTTGTCTCCTAGGCCGCTTCACTGGTGATCTGGCAGAATTGCTTGCAGCAGCCTTGCCCAGCGTTTCAGGAATTGCAGTGTCTGCAACCTGCGTCGTGAAGGATGCTGAGAAGCACCTGAGTTGTGTGCTGGAGGCATGGGAAGCTGTGATGATGTGCAAGACGCAAATCACCGACCTCTATATGGACAATGATGAGCTTTCAAAACGAAGACAAGAAGACCTTCTGGTTGATGCTGCAGAGTTGCTAAAGGATCATGGTGTGATCGAGCTGGACAAAGAAGACTCGGCTTGTGTGGGCGAATTCTTATTGGGCGCGTCCAAATTTCAGGCGGAGGCCCCAGATGCCTGGCAGTCGATCCTCCTTCGCCTTCGCCAGGATGCCGGGCCGAGTGGCCAGGGCACTTGGGCTGAGCTGGCGGGACAAGTGCTGGAAGAGCTTCAAGACCTGTCGGTCAGCGAGCAGAGAGCAGCTCGCCGTATTCAGCGCGCATGGGCTCGCTTTGTGCGGGCCAAGGCCTTGCAACGGTCTTCAAATGCCCACGAACTCAGGAGGCTCTCTTCCCTGCGCAGCGAGGATAGAATGGACAGAGTGGTGTCCACTCTGTCGAGGAGCAGCATGTTCGGCAAGCGCTCGGCAAGATGGTCGTGCTCTCAGCTGGGGAAGCTCCCCTCTGAGCCAGAGGCCCTCAGTGTGCAGCTGCTCCGGGAAGGTTCTCGCATGCTGGGACAAGCCCCAGGGATTGAGATGGTGACGCAGTTTCAAAGGTGCTGCACTGCACTGGATGTGGTCACTGTGCAGGGCCTGTCTCCCTCAGCTGCACTGGCCTTTTGGCTGAACATCCGAAATTTGGCAGTGGTGGTGGCGTTGCTGCACCGCTTCACGCAGCCATTGTCGCTTCCCAACACCTTTGAAGACTGGCTCTCATGCCTCAGCAGCACCTCGGTGTTCGCTTGTGGCCGGCCGCTCACTGCCATCGACATCGATCATGGCGTGCTTGGCGTCGGCGCTCGATCGCTTCTTCCTGCGCCCGGTCGCGCCAGCCTGGTCACAGAGGCTGACGACTTGAGAGGCTTCATGCCCTGGCCGGTCTTCGCGCTGTGGCTGCCCATCGAATTCGGAGCGCCGAAGCTTCGCATCTTCCGGTCCGAGAACCTCTTGGCGCAGCTGCGCTTGGCAGCTGAGGCCTTCATCGAAAGCTGCCACAATGAGACGATCTGTTTGCCCCCCAGCCTCCGTTCCTGTGCTGCCTGGCAGCCTCTGCTTAAATCTCGGGGCGGCTATTCCCCAGTGACCACGGAGGCAAGTGTTAACTGGGCCTTGAAAATTGAGGCTCTTTGTCTTCAGTGACGCCGAGATCAGGTGAATCACTGCGGAAAAGACACATTTCTGCATTGCGACACATCCTGTGACATGAATGGGTATGTCTCCGAAGAAGGGGACCCCCGCTTGGGTCGGCTTCTTTTTGGTTGCTCTTCAAAGCCAACTCCCAAGGCTTCTAAACCCACCCGAATGGCTGCGAGGATGAGCTCGGGGAGTCCATGAAGGCTCAGCTTCGAGAAAAAACCGAGAAGGAAGAGCTGTACCGCCTGAGGACCGGATGTGTGGATCCCGTTGACCGGGGCGTTGGTGCTTCTTGTTGGGGGTTTGAAAGCAATCACCAAACAAAAGCGAAAACCAGCCTTTGTGTGAGTTTAAAGGCTGGCAACCCCTTCAAACCACTATTTTCAGGGTCATTTGGGCTCATTATGAGGATGTCACTTTAATGGACCCAGTTCTTGGGTGCAAAGGGAAAGCTTGATTGCCTGGAATTGAAGGATAGAATATCTTCAGCAGCAGATAGAGCTCTACAACTCCGTTCGGGCCGATGCCTTTGTCCCAAGTGTCTCGTTGCTCTTCCCAGCTGCTCTCACGAGGCGCAGGTGAATCCATGGCCACAGGTGCCCTGCAAGTCGGCAAATCCGTATGAACTGCAGCAAGATTCGGGAAAGAAAGACCATAGATCTCTGAGCCGCGTTTTGCTTTGGGGGCGTTCTTTGTGGCTCCAATTTGGGCGTCAAACTGCGGAATCCTGTTGCAAGCCCAAGCCAGGTTGACCGGTCTCCTCGAGTTATGGGCAGGGCAAGAAGTTCGAGGCGAGTGGCAAGGCAATGCAGCAGCGCACAACTCTTCCCCACGCTGGCCAGTTTAGTGAAAACTTGAATCGGGCACAACCTGCTGCCAGTCCCTCACGAGAGCCTCAAACTTCGGATGCCGGACTTTCCACGGCGTGGCACCCAGTTTGCGACTGGATTCTCGCATCTGAATCGTACACGAGCTGTGAGCAAACCCCTGCCTGCTTCAGATTGCAACAACGCGCTTTGCAGTAAGGAGAGAATGCTTGTCCTTTTTGCGATGTGCGATGGTTCGAGCTTGCAGGACAATCTCCTCTGCAGTTCGCTCGATGTCTGCACGTGATGTTTGGCTCACAGTCCACCAGTTGAGTGACATTCAGATATATTTACTTGCCGCTTGCCTAAGGCAATACCACCAACGTACCGGCCCTGTGTGTTTGCTTTGCATTTTCTATCGCTCAAGCGATCTTTCATCCAAAGTTGCACCACTCGCCCGCACCCAACATCCACTCTGAGGACTACTAGCCCACCTGTCCACGAGGCCTGGGGACCAGGCAAATGCGTTGCCCAATGCAAATGCAAGGCCAAACACAGGCTTGATGTTTTGATGTTTTGATCTGCAGGTACCCGTGGTGCAAGTCACCAGCAAAGAGCCTTTGACTGTCCCTGGGAGTTTGTCGCCTCGATATGTGGCCAAAGAGCCCTTAGCGCCCATCGCCAGAGGGGGCAGTGTATCTCCAGCTCCGATTTGGCCAAAGTCCTGCGAGGCCCCGGCCGAAGCCTCAGAGGTTTCGTGCCAAAAGGTTTTGGCAGCAATCTGGTCAATGGGAAACAAATTCCAGCAGCTAAATTTCCTTTCCGATGCGCGCTGCACACGTCGTCCTGTGGCCTCACAAGCCCAAAACAAGACGAAGAATGCCGAGGTGGAGCCTCGGAGGATGGCTTCCAGCCTAACCCCGGAGCGGACCATGGAGGTGAAACAGCCACTGCGGGTGATTCCACACACGGTGTACTCGGCAGCTCGGATGACCCGAACTGGTCTTCTTATTCTTGGGATAGCTTCGAACAGAAGCGTGGCTTGAGGTCGCGACGGTGAGAAACGCGCCGCCGAACTACACTCCTGCCGGGCACTCGGGGTTGAGAGCCAGTCGGAGCCGTGGAGAGGCAGTGTCGAGGTGCTGCCCCTGATGGTGTTGCAGGGGCGCCCGAAGGCCATCGAAATGTGTCTTAGACTCTATAGGAATTGGGTGACTCAACAACTGACAGGAGCCTTTGGCCGTCCCGGTGAGCTCGCCACGTGTCCACAGCTTATTTGACTTCAGTCTTCTAGCTGGCTATGAATTTGAATATGGAACCACTCCAAAATGGTCGGCGGACATAGATCCCCACCTAAATTATGTCCAACAAGGGTTCCAGGGTTCCTAGTTAAACTTCACTCGCTTGCTCGTAAATATGGAGCCGTAACGTGAGACTCTCAGGTCTGTTTCACCACTTGAGCGTATCCGCGGAGGTCCAAACCTCGGGCGTGCTCTTCCCACGTGTTCTGGACGTGTCAAACACAAAACAATGAGTGTATGTCCAAATAGGAGTTTTGACTCTCATGGTGACTTTCCTTTGGTTTCCCTTACACCAACTTGAAAAGGGTACCAACTCGGAAACACACGAACACCCCCCCCGCAGACATCATGGAAGAAATTCAGCCGTGCAACATCGGAGCTGCGCAGAAGAAAGAGCATGCTTGTAAATTGTTTGGATTTGTGTAAGATGTGTTCTGCACATTTTTTTGTTTGACACGCTCCCTCACCTACTCTTGCCTGACATGGCCTGTGTGGTTTATCCGATCCCACTTGGCCTGACCTGGCCTATGGCCTATGGCCTATGTCTAGAGATGTCTGAGCAGGGCAAAACCCGGAGCGACCACGGCGACTCCGAAGCTCAGAATTCTTGGACGCTTCGCATGACCTTTTTGGAGCTGTGCACAAACCCTCGGCACCAGTCCGATGCATGAAGGCATGCAGGCATGCAATGTTACTCAATGCGGCATGCAGTGTGCCTGAGCTCATTTCCCCATTGGTGAAACTTGAGAGAGAGAGAGAGAGAGAGAGAGCTGGAAGCCAACAAGTGCGGTTTGCTTTGATGCTCAGTGGCACCTGCTTGAGAATTGGTTTGCAGCGTCAGTAAGGAGGTTGCAGGTCTTGAAGCGTGAAGTTCGTGAAGTCTCTGGTATTCCTTCGAAGTGGTTGCATGTAGAGAGCAGGTCTCTTCAGAAAACAAGACCAGCGAAGATGAACCAGTCCTCGAATCACGAGGCTGTTCAGCTAATGCAAATCCAGGAAAGAAACAAGGAGTCCAGTGCGCCTGCCGCGAGCGCGCACGAAAGCGCCCAACACCCAATTGGCCATTTGACTAGGTTCCAGCACTAGGTTTCACAGTACAATACAGTGCCTTCACAGCCAGGTTGGCAAAAACAGGAGTTGGGTTTTGGGCACTTGAGGGCACGCCTAGGCTGACCATTCACACTCTGAGTGGCCCACGACCATGCAGAGACGTGGCTCGAGCCGGGTCCATTCTTGGCGCGCCCAATGCAGGTGCCTTGCCCGGGGAGACGGGCCATGTGTGGGCCTTCAGATGGGAGACCCCCGTCGAAAATGATGGGTTTTGTTTTGGCTTGCCTTCAAAACAACCACAAGAGTACCCCTCGAAAAGACAGCTGCATATGGGTGTTTCTAGAAAACCCCACATTCCAATAGCTGCCAGGTCAGGCTTGGCCATGTGGGATTACGCCAGTGCCACAGAAATCCGTGCGAACCAGTCGCCTGCCAAAGTGCCTGCCTCCAGGGTGGTAGTTGGACTTCCGGAAGGGAGCCGGCATTTGCCTCGAACGCGGAGCCGCTCTGCTTTTGCGAGTCAAGCGGAACCTAAGGATGGAATTTTATCTGGCCCAGGCGTGCTAGAATGGTGCACGAAGTGTGTGTGTGTGAGTGTAGCCTTGAGTTATTTGATTTGTTCGCCAGCAACTTTGCTGCTCCTGCTTTGTGGGCAGTTGGTGTCCAGCAGAGGTCGCCAGCTGCAATCGGATTCGCAGGGATGGCCTGTGGTGCACGGCTTAAGAGCAATGGAACCATTGGTAATTATTATTTATATGACTTTGCTGGCCAAACAACCGAATCCAAGGATCAAGGATATTTATCTGGCCCAGGCAGGCAGACTGAACTGGTGCGTGAAGTTTGCTTTTTGCATGGACGTCAGCAGAGGTGGCCAGCTGCAATCGGATTCGCAGGGATGGCCTGTGGTGCCCGGCTTAGCCTCATCTTCGCCGACTGTGCTCAAGAAAGTCACCTCGCAGCAAGCGGATCTCCTTTAAGAGATGATAACTTACGAGAGATCACCTTCAGCTCATGGCAGGACTACGTAGACGATGGTTGATGCCTGAGATTCGGACACACCACCGGTTGGCAGATGTGTGTTTCTCAAAATAGGGCTCTCCCAAATTGGAGGTTTACCAGTAAAAGCAAAGCAGAAGGCGTGTGAAGCTCTCAAATTGGAAACAGGTATGCGACGGCAGGTGCAGGAGGCGTGAGAGCTCTGAGTTCGGGGATTGCTCCGATTTTGCTGGGAAGGTTCTGCTGAGTCAAGCATTGGGCTTTGAACAGACGCCCGGAGCTTACGTAATGGCTTGAGGAATGGACAAACTGAGGGAACTTTTGCTCAGCTGCAGGAACCATCGAAAAGCGTTTGGGCCAGCCTCGCTATAGAATTCCTGTAGCTCGAAACCAAAGATCTGCAGCCCAGGCCAATGTACTTCCAAGCATTCGGAGCGCGAGATCAGGAGGGCTTCGGGACTTGAGGTCAACAGTTGATTCGGTTTCCGTTGACTTTTTTGGAAATTTTCAGCTGAACTCCAGGATGCCACGTGAGCTGCTTGAGCTGAGCTGAGCTACGGCGAAACCGCGAGTCGTGCTGAGCCAAGGCCCTCGGGGAAGCCACAGGCGCGCAGCCGAGTAGTCGGCTTTTGCCGACGAGATTTTGAGCCCAAAACGCAAAGCACGAACCACAAGAGGAAAACTAGCACCTCCTGTTAATGATGTTAATGATGTTAATGGCTTGCAAGTGCAAGGTGCCGAACTGATACGAACATTGGGAAGGTTTTGTGGTAACCAAACTGAGCAAGGCAGTTGGCGCCTCTTGCAACAGACCAGCCGACATGGACATCAACGATAACTTAGGGGCAAAGCCAAGGCGGAAGCAGCAGCATCCACTTGTTTGCTTCGCCAGGCTTTCTCGAATCAATTCCGGCGAATGAAGGAGGCAGTGGTGCGTTCGAGAGGGCTCTAACAGGCTCTCCACGCTTCGCAGATGTCGTGCTTCAGGATTGGCGTCCGAATCGCGATCCGCGGTTTTGGTACAAGAAGCAGGTGTGATGGCTGCACCTTGGCATTTTTCCGGGTATTCGGCGCTTGCAGGCTTACAACAACTACAATCCGGAGGAGCCGCCCTTCAAGGCCTGCCGGTCTAAAGGAACGAAAGGAAAGGTTCAGGATTTTTAGGCTGTCATTTATTTACAACATATTATTAGTATTCTTGGTACTAAGAATATAGATTTTACTTTTATCCTCATGTACACACACACTCTCTCTCTCTCTCTCTCTCTCTCTCTCTCTCTTTCTCTCTTTCTCACTCTCTCTCTCTCTCGCTCTCTCTCTCTCTCTCTCTCTCTCTCGCTCTCTCTCTCTCTCTCTCTCTCTCCCTCTCTCTTTTTACCGCTGTCATTTATATAATGTTCATTGCAATTTTTAGGATCTAATGTAATGTTATGCCAACAAAATCCCCTCCTTTCCAGATTCTTTCATTCCTGAATTTACTCGTCAGCCAGTGGTCCTATTTGTTCATCTCCGATCCAACAATTTGGATTGCCAAACATAGTCATACGAAATGCCTGAAAGAAATTGAGCACAATCGCTTTGTATGAGGCCGCTCGAGCAGGGAAGGAACTCCGCCCGGACCCTGATTGACAGCACGCAACAGGGACGGCGGGGCCCGGTGAGGCGCACTCTTGGATTTCTACTTCGAGCCTTTCAACCTGCAGCACAACAAGTGAGCCGTCATCCAGCTCTTATGGCCTGGATGCTCGTTTTGAACAAGGCTGCTTTTTGGCAAGGCGTCCTGAGCTGGCAGCCACCCCTCGCTGCCACCTCCCTTCAAATTCTCCCCTTCCCCTTCCCCTTCCTGTTCCCTGCCCCTCCTCATTGTTGAGTGACGATGCTTAATCTGAGTATTCGCATATCCTTTTGATACTTTTTCGGCTACGAAGGCAAGTGATGATTTGCTGCAGGTACCTTCTCGACCTCATCGCGCAAAAAATTGGACCCTCGAAGGCAACTGTGTTCCAGGGGTCACGGCAGGATGCTAATTATCCAGTGAGTCGAAAACAAGTGCTTGTGGAAGCATGTCAAGTTACCTCCCTTTAAAAGATAGGTTTGGTGTTGGGCTCATGTTGAGCCCTGCCACCTGGCGGTCACCTGACCGCCGGGTGGGGGAAGTTGGTTAATCATTTGGAGACGTCCTCCCACAGGGATCCAATAGTAGATGGCCGAGTTAGTCGGTCAAGTGCCAGGCACTCTGGACCAGAAGCCAGCTGGCAGAGCTTCGTTTTGACCCAGAGGTGCGGACCTCGCAGATGTCACCACCGCGCACGGTATCCGTTTGGCCGACGTTGCTAGCGCCTAAGTGTTTTGAATCCACATTCCTTTTTTTGTTCTTCATTTGGGTTGTTTTCACAGCCACAGGGAAAACTAGAGGCTTCGTTTTCCGCGTGTCAGGACCTGATGGGGCTGAATCGCATCGCGGCGAGCATCTCGCGAATGCGCCACAGCGGAGCCGAGGCACCGGAGTTGGGTCTGTGGGCCTATGTGACCCTCAAAGCCTTAAATGGGGCACCAGCACAAAGGCACATTGTTGGTTTGTCTCATGAGGGGACACTCAAATGGCTGGACCCCCAAAGAGTTAGTTTCTTTTTGGTTTCGCTTGAAATTGAGAAAGAGCCGTGTGGGCACTCGGAGGCGCCCAACACTAAGAACCCATCCGGCATGAAAACAGGGATTTGGACCAGGTTAGACCCAAGGCCAAGTTTGTCGAGGAGTCCCTAAGCCCTGCTCCCGTTGGCATGGTCTGTGTCAAAAGCGGCAGACCCCGAACTCCCGTGGTTTACCGCTCGGTGTTCTCTTGAAACGGTGCAAAGGGCGCTTGCACCCTAAAGCACCTCGCTGACCTTTCTTGTCGCAGTTGCTGCCGCTGGACGACCCTGAAGGCCTTCGGCCGTATTTGATTCGAGTCGCCGGCACGCGAAGGGCTCCCCCGAGTTCAGGCCTTGGCTTCAGGGTTCGGAGCCGCTTCTGGCATCCCAGGGGCGAGCCGGGGCCTTACGGGCAAGATCCGTACACTCTCATAGGGTGCCCCTTTTGGGGGGTTACTAACGGTTAGTACCCATAGTATCCATGGGTGCCTCCCCATCTTGGAGGGGTCATCCCCCCCACCCCATTTTTGGGTTCCCGCATTGGCGACCCGGTCCCCCGTGGCTAGGAAACCCACCGCTGCTCAGCTCTCAGAATCCCCGATACAAGCAATGCACGTCCAAGCGCCCACCATTAAAACTCGTACAGCCCAGGACTTCTCCCTCAAGAATCTGCGCTTCACACAGAGCAGTGAATTCATTCTGAACACACTGCTCGAGGCACGTTGAAAACATGCACAGGGTGTCCAATTTCATTTGGGCTGTGTCAAAATACTGGACTCTGCAGAATCGACGGTTGGTTTTCTTTGAAACCAACCCAAATAAGGTCTTGTGTTTTCCTGGTGGCAGGTGAGGGGCTTTGCAACTTTGGACACAGCAGAACATGTGGTGGCTCACCTCATATCACCGTCCACCGAGAAAGTCAAGGCCGGCAGTGGGTCGTGGCAGCTCAAGTGCTCGACACTTTCACTGAATTCCAGGTCCCAGACAAGGTGTTCAGCGTGACTTCCCTGAACTGCGAAGGCATACGAGAGGGGAGCGGGAGCCCCAAATCCTTGGAAAGGAGTGTTTGAAGACGGCATGAAACGGGAAACCAAAAACACCGAGCCCACGCATTTAGGGAACCGAACCCCATTTTGAGTCGACGGGGTGTTGATCTGCCGCTTGTCTGAGGCATTCCGGAGAGCAACGTGCAGTCCACGGAGGCGGCCGTGTCTGGTACTTTGGCATAGGTGAACCACCCATTTCACCCATCATGGCCAGATGGCAAGGGCGTCCTTGTGATGTCCCTTTAAATGCCAAAAGGGTCCGCCATTTTGAGAAGCACTCCGGCAGATCGCTTGCTGCTTGGTGGTAGAGTGCGGCATTTCCTTGAGCACAGAAGGTAAGATAGGCGAAGGACCGAACGGAGTGGAAAGACGCATCTTTTGTTGATAGGCACAATATAGATAAATGCAAACAGACACACACACACAAGATGCATGGGCAAGCCATACACAAATTCCTTCGTAATTTGAGTGGAATCACAAGATTTTAGAGATCCTTCCTTGCCTTTGGGGCCTGCATTGACAGTCCCAGGCATACCCACAGACGTGGATGAGTGGAGCAGCAAAGGAAAACACTGCTTCTCATGACATCAACACATACACAGACACATACCCGATCTGAGTTTGTTTGTTTCAGTCGCTCCACCCTCTCAATCAATCACTGAAGACTGCAAACCATGGATACATGGAGAAACAACACCAAACGTCTCCATTGAATTTTCCTGGCAACCTTTTACGTGCTGCAATCTGCACGTGCAGGGCCGCATCAGGCGACAGCTTCTGCTCAAATCTCAGATCGTGCCAGGGCAATGCTTCCCGAATTTTACCTCGGGCACGATTCGGACATGAGCTTGCCACAAGCAACTTCCGCAACAGCTAGGCTCAATCTAGCTAAACTGTTGTGCTCAAGTTTGCGCTAGTGAACTAGTGGCTCAGGCGGAAGCCATTAGCATTGCAATCCCATAGGGGGGGTTTCCAGCAGTTGGATTCGTACAGTGCTTGTGACCCCTCTCCGTTTGATGCACAAGCCTGCAAGATCTATCTCAAGATCACAACTAGATCATGCGGCGACAAACAAGCGGTCGCTGTTGTTCGCCATGCCATGCCAAAGCGAAGCCAGGCGGCAGCTTCAGGTAGCATCACCTCAATTGAAATCCAAGCAACGCGTGCGGCTTTCAGCCAAGGCACTGCGTTGGTCGAGTCCAGCCAGGCAAACGAGATCGAGCTCTGCGAGCACTAGCCCTGGGTGCCTGTGCGTACTTGGCAAGCTGCGCGCCTGTGCAATGCCGGCCAAACTTTACTGTTACAGATGGGCTCGCGAGCGCTGCTGTTCTTGGCACCTCGTCGTGGCTGTGCTACGACTGGCTGCTTCGCCAGCGGCTGCAGAAGCCATATCTTGAAATGCGCGTGGTGGATGCGACTATCAACAATCAGGCTGAGGTGGAAGAGCGGGTGGGCAACCTGACCTCCAGCATAGATGGAGTGGAAGCTGCCACAGAAGGATGGCATCGTCTCTACAGCCCGTCTTTGACATCTGTGGTGTGGTTTTACCAAAGCGAACATTTGAGATGTGGGAAGGCCGGGATTTTGAAGATGGTCTTGGAAAAAGATGACCAGATGCTTGACAACCCGTACCCAAAGCTCTCAGGACGAGCAGCAGAATCTCGTCCTGGATGGGCGACCATCAGGAGAAAGCCTGGAGGAGTTGCTGTCCAGGCGCGGACTGGAAGCTTGTAACATCCCCCGGCCCCTTTGAAATGGAGCTGAGGGGGGATGAAGCAGAATAGCAACATGGACTTGTCAGACTCGATTTTGGCGGTGGAGGCGAGGGAGGTTGCATCCTTTAGAGTGGTTATACACGTTTCCACCTTTCATGTGGCCCAAACCTAGCTTGTAGCTGAGCCGGACTGTATCCCTCGTCCATCCGATGATTTTATCATTCGCCCTTTGCTTGCTGGGTGCGCACGGAACTTCGCTCTTTCCTGAAGGTCCTCGAAGCACCCGGTTTCCGCAAGCCATTGAGCACCTTTACGTAGCACCAAGAATTCGTCGAAAGCCCGGGGCCGTGGGATCCGTGACGGGCTTTGCCTGGAATGCCCCCAACGGCTCTGAGCTGAACATCAGCGCAGGGCAGACTTTGGTGAGCCTTTCCTTCGTGTCAGGCGGAGTGCTCCGCCTGCGCCTGGCGCCCAGCGGCGACATCTCGGACCCCATGCACTCGGAGATCGTGACGCTTCCGGGAGCAGCGCCAGGCGCGAAGTTCGCGAAGACGGCGGATGGCTTCGAGTTTGCCAGCGGCGGGGTGAAGGTCACTGGGTCGTTGGACCCGCTGCTGCTGACGCTGCACCGGGCTGAAGCGGTGGTCTGGCAGGAGCTGGAGCCGATGGCTTGGAACACCACCAGTACCTGGCAAACCTTGGCGAACGACGGGGAGAGCTTCTATGGCTGCGGCATGCAGAATGGCTACTTCGACCACACCGGGCGCTTTGTTCTCATCCGCGAGGGTGGTGGTTGGGATGCCGGCGGCCGCGCCAACCCGGCGCCTTTCTACATGTCGTCCAAGAGCTACGGAGTGCTGCGCAATACCTACAAGCCTGGAGGGTATAATTTTTCGCAGCGCGTCATGCTCTCGCATGACGAGCCCGGGCTTGACGCCTTCTTCTTCATCGGCACATCCATGAAAAAGGTCTTGAATCTGTACACAGGCATTGCTGGGAGACCAGTCCTGCCGCCCCTTTGGGGCCTTTTTCTCGGAGACTCGGATTGCTACAACAACAAGCGTCACAAGGAGACCTCCTCGGCGCTGGCCGTGGCCAAGAATTACTCCCGTCACCAGATGCCCCGAGGCTGGATGTTGGTGAACGATGGATATGGCTGCGGCTACACCTCGCGCAACATGCTCCAGGAGATCCTTTTTGTCCAACACGAGGGCGCCCTTAACCCTCCCACACAAATGATGGGTTTCCTTTGGTTTCTCTTTCAATCCACCTGACGCAGAAAATCCAGGAGACTCAGGAGGGTCTGGAATCGAATGGGCTTCGCATGGGCCTGTGGACCTCTACGGGACTTGCCAATGCCAGCTGGGAGATTGGCAATGCACGCTCCCGCGCTCCCAAGCAGCAAAGTCGGGATGCCATTTGACATGCCCCAAACCTTATGTTGGCCTCCTGCCTTTGGCCTCTAGGTTGTCCTTTGAAGACTACCTTGTGTGCGTGTGTGTGTGTTGTTGAGCTGGTACCTTCTTCAGCGTCCCGATTTTCCACAACCCCAGCCTCCGCGTGGTGCGACCTTCTCCTTTAGGGTGTTGGATTGGAAAGTTTGGGCCTACGCAAATAGTCTCTAAGTCTGTCCATGGCACTCTCGAAAAGCCGAGCGCATGTTTTTTCTGGGTGCGCCTTTTTGTTTGGGGAAGGTTGGCGTTCAAGGGATCTTGGAGCTCCCCTGCACGTTCCCGCTGAGGTGATCAAGACAGACGTGGCCTGGGTGGGCAGCGGGTACCGCTTCGGCCTGCAGGCAGTGAAGCTTGCCGCGCAGCTCATGGTGAACGCCTCCGACAGTCGGCCCTACACCTGGACGGTCTGCGGCTGGGCGGGAACCCAGAAGTGTCTCGGCGAGCAAAGCGCCGAGACAAAAGGGGCCAGCAAAATGAGTCACCCCTGATTGCTTTTGACTTGGTGTGGGATCGGGAAAAGTTGAGAGCAGTCAGGGTGCATGTAGAACAAACCTGCTCCGGCAGGTACGCCGTGATTTGGACCGGAGACAACAGCGGTAGCTGGGAGTACATTCGCATGCAAATTCCGACCATGATTGGCAGTGGCTTGAGCGGATTTGCCCACGCTACTGGAGATGTTGATGGCATTTTCGGAGGCTCTGCCGAGACATATGTGAGAGACTTGCAGTGGAAGACATTTCTGACAGTCGCTATGACCATGAGTGGGTGGGCAAAGTATGACAAGCAGCCGTGGGTTTATGGCGAGCCTTACACCAGCTACAACAGGAAGTGGCTGCGATTGAAGGCCCGCCTGACGCCCTACTTATACTCTTTGGCTTTTCATGCGCATCTCACCGGGGAGCCGCCAGTCCGCGCCATGCAACTGGAGTTTCCCACTGAAAAATGGTCCAGCCTGAATCAGTCTGCGCTCCAGTACCAGTTCATGTCAGGACCGTTTTTCCTTGTTGCGCCAATCTTCCGCAATGAGTCGAAGAGAGACGATATTGTGCTGCCGTCTGGCGAATGGATCGACTACTCTGACGGATCCCGCTTTACTGGACCTACGACTCTTCAATCTTACCCATGCCCACTGGAAGAGCTCCCGGTGTTTGTCCGTGCAGGGGCCATTATACCCATGTGGCCTCAGCTGGACTATGTTGGAGAAACTCCTTTGGATGTGTTGTCGCGTCCTCAGTTGTGCAAAGACTGCTCGAATGAATCGCGCGAAGGATCAACGGGCAAGACTTGGCACGGTGAAGAAAAACATATGCTGAGGACCTTGGATGTGTATCCTCCAACGGCTCCCGGCACATCCAGCTTCACTCTGTATGAGGATGATGGTGTCTAGTCTTAAGTGTAGCCTCAAGGAGCGAACCACATGAACTGAGCTGCCTCTTACAGTGCCCAAGTTGCCGCGTCAGGTTTGACGAGGAACTACAGAGACTCGGCTTGCACTGTGTCTATTGCAAATCACACACACACATACAAATACAACATGTACATATATCAGGGCTCCTTAAGAGATACATTTTGCCTATTTGACACATTGGCTTTTTCCACCAGAATCAAGGGAAATCACGATTGACAAGGCAGTGTTCAGGTGTAAAATGTAAGGATCCCTGTATGTATGTATATATATATGCTCACCCCCCCCCCCCATGATCCACATTTGGCATTGCTGCAGTGTATGGTCTCAGCTTTGGCTCCTTAATTTGAATGGCTGAAGTACTCTTAGCCCGTCTCCCAATGGAGGCTGTTAAAATAATAACAGCCATGGCAACGAGCGCCACGCCGAGCCCTATCGCTCCATCCAGATGGCCTACAAAAGTAGGTTATCTACCATGTGGCTACTTGGCCGATTTCATCGAGTCGAAAACTGCAGTTTCTTATGGGGTCCTTCTGCTGTCATCTCTGCTCTTGCCCATCTAAGGATCGGAAGTGTTCAGCTTCGAAGGCTTGCACTTCAAGATCAGCGCGAGCGAGGAGACCGTCCTCCAAGAGAATGAGCTTGGCTTGATTATGAGTGAGAGGCATTTGCCATAGTTTTTTATGGGACAGTCCTTAGGACTGCTTTTGCTCTCTCAGTTTTCCAAGCCGCAAGGAAAAAAAGCCTGCTGACCATGTACGCCTGAGTCTGCTTGCATATCAAGCTCATTAAGTTTCCTTGTGCTATACTGCATCCATTGCAAAGCTGGGCAACTTTCTGATATTCCAACCCCATGATCCACATTTGGTATGGCTGCTGTGTGTGGTCTCAGCTCTGGCTCCTTAGTTTGACCCCGCAGTGTGTAACTAATGGCTGAAGTACTATTAGCCCAACTCCCAATGGAGGCTATTAACATACTGCTTGCATCTCAAGCTCATCAAATTTCCGTGTACTCTGCTGCAGCCATTTCAATTTGAGGTAACTTCCTGATACTCCCTTCTGCTCCAATCATGGCATCTGTGCCTCCTCATCGTGCTGAGTCGCTGGCTCGTTCCTTCGACAACGCAAACCTGGACGGCAACTGCACATTGGAGGAAGCCATCGCCCACACCGACGGCATGAAGATCCTTCTCCTGGAGAAGCCAATGGTGGTGAACAAGGAGCCCGGTTCCATTAAGCTAGGCGATTTGCCAGCTAAAATGGAAATCACCGACTCCGTGAAAAAGAAGACGCAGTTCCTCGACGTCATTGCTGACCACGAAGGGCCTATTGACTTGAATGCGGTAGAGACAATGTTCCTTCAACAACGGTATGCCGACCTACCCGAGCCCGTGCGCATGAAGGGGAACTTCCAGGCCCCCTACAACATGCAGATTTTCATCATCCCCAAGGAAGGGGGCAAGAAAGACATCATTAAGCACATCAAATTCCTAGAAGGTGCAAAGGTCCTCCACAGCTCCATCATCTCTATGTGCCAGGGCGTTCCACTCGAGATCGACTTGCAGGGCAAGTACCGCGATGGTGGTCGAGGACTACAGTACATGCTCGAGGGGCTGGGCGGCTTCCAGGTCCGCTACCAGAAGCTCGTGTCCGCCGGTGCCTCGAGCAAAATGCCCAAAGAGACGGAGGACATCCGCAAGGGCTTCGCCTATATCCGTCAGTTTGGCCCGGAAGAAAGGGGACCATCAAGGAGTTCCTGAGGTGCCTCGCGGACCAAGGCTCTCAAGCTAATACGATCAAGGAGTGGCCTCTCACCTTCAAGAGCATCACGCCGTGGGCTTTGAACACTATCCTTGCACCGATTCTTCCTCATGTGATGTCCCACTCCGTTATCTGGATTGGCAAGTCTCAGGTGGGTAAAAGCCCGGTGTCCTACACCCTCTCATCTGTGGTGTCCGCATATTGGTTGATTCAGGAAGAGAAGGAGGGCAGCCCTTGCTTTCAGACATGCAACCACCTCGACTACTTCCGCAAGGAGAAGGGCAGGCGGACGAAACCGAGGGTGTTTGATGATGGCAACCTCAACCTGGAGCATCCCGCAGGTGTTAAGGCAGTGACGGAGGTGGACGGCGTCGACAGGAAGACAATGGCAAGATACAACGCGTCCTCGTACGCGAAGAATCAGCTATGCCAGATTTGCAGTAATCCCTATGACAGGACTGCAGAGCCGCCGATGGACGCCAATTCGACTCAGGACACCGTGACCTTCGAGCAGTTCTACAAGATCGTGCGCCCCTCCTTCCACAGGGACTTCGATGAAGAGGACCTTGTCGGTGTCTTCAAGCGATCCACCTTCATCGTCTTCACCGATGTGGGCATGTACGTACGTGTGCCAGGCACAGACCGCAAACCCGTTCCCCGGTATGCCTGGCCAGAGCGGGATATTGGCATGATCTCTCCATCTGCCCGACCCCTTTTGGCTGCCTACAAGCGCGGTAACCTCTCTCACTTGCCGGCAGATCATGACAAAGACATGCAGTGGAGTTTGAACTTGCTGCAGGCTGCGCTGGATGGCGAGGAGGTCCGCTATTGTGCGACCACCCGTGGGAAAGAACTGTTCTCAGGAAGGGAGTACGTCATTGAAGATCGACCAACACTCGCGGGCATTGAGGGCAAGACCAAGTACTACCTGGATGCTGGCGCTGCCGTCGACGAGCCGCCCACTAAGAAGCTTCGATCTGTGAAGTCCTCTTCCAACTTGCTCAAGGAGATCAAGAACGAGAATGCGCAGGATGCCAAAGACGAGCCGAAGGACGAGGATGAGCAGAAAACAAAAGAAGAACAGAAGGAGAACGAAGATGCGCAGGATGCCAAAGACGAGCCGAAGGACGAGGATGAGCAGAAAACAAAAGAAGAAGAGAAGGATGAGGACGTGCAGGGTATCAAAGAAGAACCAGAGGAGACGCATAAGGTGCGCATCAAGCAAGAGCCAGTGGATCCCTCCTACTTTTCCAAGCCATTGAACCTGCGCCCTCTGGTGATCAACCTGTCAGACACGTCTGAGGATGCAAGTGACCCAGCCTCTGCACCGGCTGCAGCTGATGCGGCGGACCCTGTGGAGAAGCTTTCTGACCCTACAGCTCCTCCAGCAGCCGATGTGGTGGATGAGACCAAGGTCCTTGTGCCTTTGCCGGCTTCTTCTCGTAATGTGGTGGAATGTATGGACGAGATTCCCGACCAGTATGACATCGAGGCATACCGAACCCTTTCCCAAGAACTCGCGGATGCCATGGACATTGACGACAACTGAGCCGCGTGTGAGCCGCACTCAGCGGGTTTTGTTCTAGAAGATAGAAATATAAACCCAATAGAGACATGGAGCTTGGCTAAAAAAACATTAGGTCTCCAGTGCCATCTTGCTTGCACATGTTGCTTGGAAGCGAATCGCATTGATCGTTTACGCAGCCATCTGCTTCAATCGCCTTGATCCTTTGTAGTTGATCTTGCCCATCATGCCAAAGAAGGTCATGAAGTCCGTGAAGGCCAAGTTCCCAGATCCTAAGCGGGGGAAGTGGCGCGTGCAGCGAAGGCCTGCCTCAAAGAATCCTGCTCCGGTGCCATATGTCCGCCATGGCATGCCCACTACCAAGAACAAAGGCCACAGAGCGCGCTGGGGGCGTTCGATTTTGACTTGGAAATCTTTGACTGGACAGCGTCTCCACAAGCAGCTCCACAAGGACAAGATCCTCACAGACTGGGAAGGCAGAACTTGCCCTCAATGTGGCAACGGCGTAATGGGGCCCCTGAAGTATTACCATGACAAGAAGATTTGGGCGTACCGGTGCAAGAAGCGTGCCTGCCACAAGCAACTTCAGCCTCATGACTACCATCCCATCTTCTTCATGTCTGCTGGCAATTCTTCAACTCCACTTCAGAAGCAGGTGGCGGTCCTCTTCTGCGCGGTGGTGGGGGTCTCGAGCAATGCGGCGCACCTGCTCCTGGATATGGACCACAAGCCAGTGGAGCGCATCTACCACAACCTGGAGGTCGCTCGCTCGCAGTACGTCACCCAGAAGGAGAAGGACATTGTCTTCGGCGGGAAGTAGGAGGACGTGGAGGTGGACGAGGTCGACATTGGCAAGTTGACCGACGAGAGCGTGGCGGGAAACCTCAACACGAAATGGGAACAGTGGGGTGGACTCGTGGAGCGAGGAAGGCCATCCTCGCTGGTGCTCTTCAGGCTCAACCCCATCCTCACCAAAAAGAGATCTCCGGGGCCAGGTCCCATCAGGAAGAGGGACTGGCAGCCGATTGCGAAAAAGCACATCGCGGGCCGGAAAGTCATCCTCCACAGCGATGGGGCCAGAGCCTACAAGCTCAGGTTGCCGGACGTGAGGCATTGCAACGTCGGGCACAAGAAGAAGCGCATCGTCATCAACGGCAAGGCAAGTAACTCTGACCTAAACTGCTTTAACTGCCTCTTAAGGGATCTACTTGATTCTGTTATTCCTGTCTGTCAGGCCGTTTGGGTGAAGCCCCACTACACCAAGCAGTACGACGTCAAGCTGCCGGACGGGAAGAAGGTGCGTGTGAAGAGCGGCGCCCAGATCATCGACCGGTTCTGGAACACCCTTCGATCTCACCTGAAACACACGAATAGAATCCCCGGCAGTCAGGTTCTCTTGCGAAAGCTGAGATCCGCACAGTTTGAATACTGGCATCGCCGCGCTAATATGTGGGAGGTGACCGGCCAGATGCTGCAGGCACTGCACAAGCAGTGATTACCGGATATGCGCTCGAAGGAAAAAGGCAAGAAAAATGCAAGCCAGCTCGTCGGAGTGACAAACATCTGCTACTGCCTTCCCACATCCACAATTTTAAAAAACAGTACAGCACTGTCCCTAAAAAAACCTAAAAAACCATTCCAGAAACAGTCTTGAGCACACAAACCTCCTTCTGGCAAGGAATTTTTGGTTTTTTTGGGGACAGTACAGCACTTTTTTTGGTTTTTTAGGGACGTACAGCACTTTTGAGCATCAGCATGCAGAAAGTGCTGTACTGTCCCTAAAATCCAGGCTTTGGAGGCTGAAAGTGCTGTACTGTCCCTAAAAAACCTAAAAAAACATTCCAAAAAACAGTCTTGGGCACACAAACCTAGCACTTTTGAGCATCAGCATGCAGAAAGTGTACTGTCCCTAAAATCCAGGCTTTGGAGGCTGAAAGTGCTGTACTACCCCTAAAAAACATAAAAAAAAAAACATTCCAAAAACAGTCTTGAGCACACAAACCTCCTTCTGGCAATGATTTTTTGGTTTTTTTAGGGACAGTACAGCACTTTTTTTGGTTTTTTAGGGACAGTACAGCACTTTTTGCATGCTGGAATGGTTTTTTAGGTTTTTTAGGGACAGTACAGCACTTTCAGCCTCCAAAGCCTGGATTTTAGGGACAGTACAGCACTTTCTGCATGCTCAAAAGTGCTGTACTGTCCCAAAAAAACCAAAAACGTGCTGCACTGTCCCTAAAAAACCAAAAAAAGTGCTGTACTGTCCCTAAAAAACCAAAAAAAGTGCTGTACTGTCCCTAAAAAACCAAAAAAAGTGCTGTACTGTCCCTAAAAAACCAAAAAAAGTGCTGTACTGTCCCTAAAAAACCAAAAATTCCTTGCCCGGTTTTTTAGGGACAGTACAGCACTTTCAGCCTCCAAAGCCTGGATTTTAGGGACAGTACAGCACTTTCTATAAGTTCCATCTGCTCCCTGCTAACTTTTTTTTCCAGAAGGCTGTCCACACAAACCATCTGTAAGCATCTGCTTCAAGTTGCCTAACATCTGTCCATCAAGAATGTCGCAATCTTTGACTAATCTACTCATCAAGAATGATGCTTGTTTTTGACCCAAGTTTCCAGGATCAGAATCTGATCCTGGAACAGGTGGTCAAAAACAAGCATTTTACATGTGTTTTTCCAGTGTTTTTTGCTTGCAAGAGGCAAAATGTGGATCATGGGGGGGGGGGGGGTGACCATATATATATATATATATTGTGTACCATGTCTGGCTGCGTCCAAGCCGTGTGGCATTTTGCTGCATGGGCTCATCTTGCAGCCCATACCACCCGTGAGTGGCCTCTCTTTTGCCTCAGGCTAGGACGAGGCCCAGTGTGTGGGTTGCGGCTTAGTACCATTGTGGGTGATCACAGTGGGAAGCGCCCGGTTCGCGATTGGTGCGGGTGGCGGGCCTGACTAGGCAGCAGCGCTTCCCCTGGCCACACTTATTTGGGTCTCTGAGCCTGAGGGGCGCTTAGCCAGCTTGAACTCCAAGTGGAGGAGGCAATGACGTTTACGGAGCCTCTTGCGAAGCCAGGAGGGACGGCGCCTTAGGCAGTGGCTCTGCGCTTTTTGCTCACTCACTCACTCACTCACTCACTCACTCACTCACTCACTCACTCACTCACTCACTCACTCACTCACTCACTCACTCACTCACTCCCTCACTCCCTCACTCACTCACCCACCCACCCACCCACCCACCACCCACCCACCCACTCACTCACTCGCGCACGCACGCACGCACGCACGCACTCACTCACTCACTCACTCACTCACTCCCTCCCCCACCCACCCACCCACCCACTCACTCACTCACTCACTCACCCACCCACCCACCCACCCACCCACTCGCCCACCCACCCACCCACCGCCCGCCCGCCCGCCCGCCCGCCCGCCCGCCCCGCCCGCTCGCTCGCTCGCTCGCTCGCTCGCTCGCTCACTCACTCACTCACTCACTCACTCACTCACTCACTCACTCACTCACTCACTCACTCACTCACTACTCACTCACTCACTCACTCACTCACTCACTAATATGTACCATGTACATACACACTTTACACATATATATATATATAACACACACACACACATATATATATATATATGTGGTACCCCGCCAGGACCCAGGTTTGGTTAGCGTGAGCTGTGTTTTTTCCAGTGTTTTATGCCTTTTTGCCTCGTTGATTTTTGCGGCAAAATTGGGGGGGGGGGGGGGGGTGCCATATGTATTATACATTGTATGCATACATATGTAATGTAAGCAATGATATCAACATTTGTTCATCTGACAGAGTCTGCGTGCGTCTAGGAGTATTGCATAAACATTCGGGGATTCAAGCATCAAGAATCTGAGAAAATTGTTTCTGGGAATCTTATTTTGTTGCCCCAGACAACTGAAAGCTTGAGGGGTTCTAACTTTTAATAAAGAGGGGAGAATGATTTGCGAGACTCACGGCAGGGTGTCAGGGAGCATGCTGGTTGCAGGTGCTGTTTGAGGTGCTGATGACGGTGTGGGCGAAATTTGGGCAAGATTGCTAGGGGGCATGCAGTTTGGGGTGCTTGTGCAGGTGCTGTTTGAGGCGGTGGTGACGGCGGGGGCGCGTCTTTGCGAGATGGCCGGGTGCATGCCTCCAGTTTGGGGTGGTGGTGCAGGTGCTTTTTTGATGTGCTGGTACAGGTGCTATTTGATGGTGTGGGTGCATTTTTGCAAGATGCAGTTTGGGGTGCTGCTGGTGTTGGTGCGCGCTTGTTTCTTAGTTTGGTGGAGGTGCTGTTGGAGGTACTCGGCTGGGTGCTAAGCAATTTTGGATTGCTGGTGCAGGTGCTGCTTTTGGGGGTGCTGATGCAGGTACTGTCAGACGCTGGGGGAGCATTTTTGCGAGAATGACGGCGGGGCCAGGGGTGCTGCTTTGGGATGCTTTTTGGGGCAGGAAACCCTCGATCAAATCCTGCCCCTTTCCACAGTGGCCCTTCAACCTGTGCCAAACATGAAGCACCCATGCTGCCCACACGAGACACGAGTGGAACAAACAAAAAAAAACTGTAGGCTTTCGTTCCTTCAATTCCAGACCAGGAAGTCTCTCAACCCCACACCCAGAAGTGTCCTTGAATTGATATGACTGACCAACGAGCAGTGTGCAATCCACGACCAGTTTTATGATATTTGGGGGTCTATGCTGGTGTAATTTAAACATTTCTATTGTTGTGCCAATACTCCTGGTTTCCAATACAGAATTCTGCGACCAAGTATACACACCTGTCTGCAGTCACATGCATTCAATCTGCAACCCCCCAAGTTCCCACAATGGCTGCATTCAAAGTGCGAGGGCAAGATTCTCGGAAAAGCCTTCTGTGAAAGAAAACAAATCTCGAATCTTCAATTCAATGGTAAAATACTTTCGAGGTTTTAGAGCAACTTGAAAGTTTTTGGGGGTTGGCCAGGATTGACGATTCTCGGGAAAGTTTTCTGTGCAATCTTCAATCTTGAATCCCTAATCCAGTGGTAAAGCACTTTCAAGTGCTGGAAGAACTTGAATGTGGTTTGGCTTTCGCCAGGATTGACGATTCTCTGGAAAGTTTTCCGTGTAATCTTCAATCTTGAATCTTCAATCCAGTGCTAAAATACTTTCAAGCGCTTGGCGATCCAGTGGAAGCACTTTCAAGCTCTTAGACAAACTTTCAAGTTCTCTTGGTGAGCGTTATGCTTCATGTAAGCTATGCTCATGTTGACCCTTTTCCAGGAGACAAACAAAGGGAGGTGTAATGCTCAAACACGCTGTATTTTGCAGTTTTTTCTGAAGAGGCGTAGGATCATGCGGTGTACTATGTGTGTGTATTTATTTATATATATATACATTTATATGTATGTATGTATGTTCACACACCGTCAACCCCCCCTTTGAACTACCTGTCACATCTGCTAATCTACTACCTCCGCCTTTGGAGATAGGACGAATTATGTTTTCCTGTCCAAGTGAGACTTAAAAATACAACTGATTTAGCTAGAATCCCTGTTTCGAGATAGTTTTAGAATTCGAACATCTAGTTCCTTGAAATTTGCTTTTTTGGAACACCGTCAAAGAAGTTTGAGCTTCGTACCTTTTTTATGCTACAAAAAGGGTCAGAATGCAAATAACACAAATCCTATTTCGGATTTCCTTGTAGAAGTCCCCTAAATGTTTAGCCATATATAGTATGAATTATATTTGAGAAGTAAGTCGATTTAATTGTTATTATCAAAAGCCAATTGAAACATAGTAGTATTATATTAATTTAGAACGTAAAGCATACTTGGAAAAAGAAACAACCACTTGTTTACAATTTTCTTCAAGACTAGTTGAATTTTACCCGAAATTATATTTACATTGTAGTTTGACTCCTATTCAGAACGAAGTGTTATTTGAATTCCAATTGAACAGAAAGCAAATTTGGACAACGATATCTTTACTAAAGAATACCATATTGGGACATTTCGGAGGACTCCGGGCTCCAACTTATGAGGCTTTAGTTTGCCCAAAATGGGACAGTTCGAAGGTGAGCATCTCCTCTAGATTCTAGATTTATCATCCCCAAAAAGGCACTAAACCCGCTCCATGGGGTGGGGTTTGGCGATGTATATATATATATATATGTACCAGTCCCTGCACCCCGTACCCCCCCCCCCCCCCAATGGTATGCTCCCCCACTCCCCCGCATCATCCGCATCTTGGGGATGATGCTGGCAATGCTGGGGATGCTGTCCAGTACCGTGCGAGCCCTGCAGCTTCGGTCCCAGACCCCCGTTCACCCCGTGAACCAACACCCCCGCACCTCTCGCAACATCCTACCCTAAACCAAACCACCCTGCAACCCCTCCTTAACCCCAACCCTAAGCCTAAATCAACCCAAACCCAAACCCACCCGAAACCCACCGCAAACCAACCCTGAACCAACCCTGAACCAACCCTGAACCAAC